TGAACCAGGTGAAGGTTCCTGAGGAGTCTTAAATGTTCTTGAGAGATGAACATGCACAGAAGTGTGGAAGTAAAAATCTTGTGGTCAAATACGCACCCAAAGGTCTGTGTTTTCTCTAACTCATGATCACTCCCTCTCATGAACAAGTACTTAGAGTCTCTGTGGCTCATTGCTATTTGTTGATACGTTTGTGGCACATCAGTGACTTATTGTGCTTGTGCAGGGAGGTAGTGAGACAAGTCCACCAGTGGAGAAAGACACCCTTGGGGCAGGGAGATTTTAACCCACCAGCCCATGGCATGTGGGATCCCTGTCCGAGTAGTTTTCACTCACAGAGGTACATGAAGGGAGGGAGGGAATGACATACAGCCTCACAAGCTGCACTGCAAAGCAAGCTCTGAAGGAGGGACAGCTTTTCTGCCATCTTGCTTACCTGAAGTACTGTTGGCTAGCACAGGGTCACTTTCTGTCACTTCAGGTGTAGTGGAAGCTGGAACCTCTAGCACCTGCTGTGAAGAGAAATAAAGTCTGTGTCAGGCCTAGAAATGGGAAGGAAGGGGACAGTGGTCCTGCTCATCTTTAGATGACATAAATTACTCTCACACAAATGTATTATACGCCTTCCCAGATCAAGACAGAGCTGTCCCTGCCTGCCTACATGGTTGGTCTAACAATCCATGAACCTTTCAGGTTAAAAAAGCACAGAAATCCTGCAGGATTTCACCTTAACAGCTCACATGGGACAGCCTGCCTAGGACATGGCCAACCACTGCCTCTGGGGAATACAGAGCTGCAAGAGTTTTCACAGGTGGTGGTGCAGACACAGGCCAAAATGCAAAAAAAAAAACCCTCAGTGAAAATGTTTTTTTTTTTTTTTATTCTGAAGCACTTAAAGATGTCAAACTTGTCATGTGCTGTGCAATTACAACAGCTCTTTCCTTTGGTGCATTAAAGTGAGGCCAGAAAAAGTGGGGAGAGGAAGTGATAAACATAAAATGCCTGTGAAATGCTGGCTATGCAAATGAAGAGAGACAGGCTGGAGACAGGGTTTCATCCCTGATTCTGACACAAACTATCCTGTTTTGCTTTGCTAGCCCTGCTGATGTGACTGATCCAACACCCAGCCTTTGCCAACTGCCTCTTGCCCTAGAAGAAAGCTCATGTCTTTCTTGCAGAGGAAATGTCTGTGTAACCCTCAGTCACGTCCTGCTGATGGTCTGTGTTCCTTATCCCAGTGTGACCTACATGCTTAGCCCAGGTGAGACCTGTGATGGGTTACAACTGAAGCCACGGCCCACGGTGGTGAATATGATAATGGTGAGCCTGCTGTCACAAGCAGCAGTACAAATGGGATCTGGATCACGTAGGGATATATGTTTGCATTTGTCAAATTAGCTCATGGCATGACATATCTGCTTACCTTCTGCTCTTGAGGCTAGTTATTGGAATGAAGACACCAGCTGATGGGGCCGGAAGCCCTCTGCTTCAAAGTTAACTTACCACGGCTGCCTTGAACCAGCAGCTTGTGTTTTACGCTCTGCCAGTACTTCGTAGCAGCATGTCTGGTACAATACTGGGATACTGAAGCTGAAGCTACTGTATCAGTCAGACTCCAGGAGTCAGTGTTGTGTGCTCTACACATGTACTAAGAGACAGAACCTCTCCCATAAAAAGAACAGGGCCACAATAGATGAAGAGAGGAAACCAGTCCCGGCCCACGGGGCAGGATCTGCTTTTCTGTATTGCTTTTCATTCTGTTTAAAGAAGACCCAAACATTTATACATGACCAAAGTGTAGGAATCTGTGTTGCTAAATAAACTCCTGTGTTAACTCCCACCTCCTACTTAAAACAAAAACATGTCTGTTATTATTACTATATTCAGTGGCAAGAACTTTTCAGTCTGTTGTAGAAATTCCTCCTTTCCCATTTCTTCCAACAAAGCAGAACTTTTGTGTAACGAGGCAATGCTCTCACTTCCCAAACCCCATGCATCGATAACTTTAATTTCCCCAGTTCCTCCTGGACAAAATGACACTGAAGTCTGCAACTGTTCCTAATTTTTAGTTTGTAACGGTATACGATGTTATTGTTACTGCTTGTTGTTCATTTTACTTCTGAGCCTGAAGGTCCAAAGTCAAAGCACCACTCGGACTCCTAAGTCTTGATGCCAAGAAGGACTTTAAGGCCATTTTACCATCCTCCTGGGTAACAGAAGCCACAGACCTATACCTGCTTATTCCTTTGCTAAGCCAATTCTGCGAGGGACAACAGATGGCATACCAGAAAAGACATGTCTTGCTCAAAGAGCTAAAAATGATTAAACTTGATCTTTCTTTCTGAATTAAAGAAACCCAAAAAACCCGATGTTTATCAGAGCCTAACACTCTTGAGTTTCTTGACATTCAGCCATGGAGGAGAAAGGGAACTGTCTTTCCCAGGCAGATAATTAACCTCTTCAGACAGGTGTAGGAATTGGTTTGCCATTCTCACCAGCCACCAGATGTGGTCAAGAATGGCCTCATATGCCTTCCACATCTGTCTGGGCCTCCAAAAATATGGGAAAATTTCAGTGACTTTCCAGACCTGAGAAGCCCCATGGGTGTCAAAATGACACTGGATTAAAAAAAAAAAATAAATCCAGGATTTAGCAAGAGGGAAAGACTCTTCTATAAGTACCTCTCTCACTTGTTCCATGATCCCTGATGCGGTGGCACAGTGATTCCTACAGGCAGGCAGGTCCTGCTGATGTCCAGGTGGGGAGGTGGGATGAAGGCTGAAGAGCAGAGACAGTTGCTAGGAAACAACCCTCCCTCTGTCTATGAGCTGTGGTCCCCATGGGAACCAGAAGAAACACAGCAGAGATCAGGGTCACCGTTGCTGACTGAAAAAACAAGGAGGAAAGTAAAAGGCTCATGTCTCATGAAACACCTGTGCCCAGAAGTTCTCATCACCTACACAGGATTTTTGATAGACTTTCATAACACAGTCATGATAATCAACAAGGCTGTATTTAATCAGAACTGGATCTTCCAGCACCTCCAAACGCTTCACATGAGCTCACTGACACCCTGTCCTGGTTTCGGCTAGGACACAGTTATCTTTCTTCACAGTGGCTGATGTGAGGCTATGTTCTGTATTTGTGCTGAGGAGGCAGCTGATAACATACTGGTGTTTATAGTTGCTGCCAGGACAATCAAGGACTTTTCAGCTTCTCTGCTGTGCCAGTGTCTGCAGGTGGAGGAGAAGCTGGGAGGGAGCACAGCTCCAATTACTAGCCTGGGATTTGATCTTAGGTTTAGGACTGAGACCCAAATTGGCCAATAGTCTATTTTATATCATGCACGTCATGACCAGTGTATAGATGAGGCTCTGTGTGGAAGTTCTCCCCTTTCTCTCTGGGTCATCCCTCTCGGTGTCATCTCTTGCTCTCTTGGCTGGCTCTTGCTCTCTCAGACACTCAGGCTCTTCTCTCTTTTCCAGGATTGCAGTTTTGGGACTCTGCTCCGAGATCACTATCTGGGAATGGGCTGAGCCTTACTCATTGGGTGGTGAGCAGCTGCAGTGTGTATCACTCATGTGTACATATTATCATTATTATTTTCAGTTTTGTTGCAGTTTTTTTATTAAATTGTTCTTATCTCAAGCCACAAGCCTCTTTTCCCTTTACCCCTTTAATTCTCGCCCCAACCTTGGGAGGGTGAGTGAGTGGCTGAATGGTGTTTGGCTGTGATCCACGTCAAACTGCGACACCCCACCATCAGAGAGGAAGAGGAAGGTGCCCCCATTTTCCACATTAGAAAAGGGGAGATGGTGGGCTGGCAAAAGGTCTTACATTGACTCAAAGACAGAACCACAGCTTGGCCCTCCTGTGTCCAGCACCCAGTGCTATTTTTAACCCCAGACTTTTCATCCATTCTGCTCCACCATGGACCTGAGTCTCACCTGGCCACAGGAATTTCTGCAAGTCTCCAGGGAAGAGTGCAACTCTCCTTCATGTTGCAAAGCTGCTTTTCCCACCAGGCAAAAGCAAGTCACATACCAACAGAGAAGAATTAGAAATAATCACAGATGGGTCATCTCAGAAGTATATTTTATTCATTGTGAGACTCAAAAGATTGATAGAAATCCACTGATCATTCTTAGAAAAACTGTCAAAATATATATGTCAGCATGTTTTTTCTTTACATTCACCTCCTCCCTTTCACTGTACCCTGGGCTGGAGACAGCCGCTAGATGTCATTGCCCAAGACACAGCTCTCCCTCTAGGCCTTGTTGCGCTTCAACTCAGAGACCTTGTAGCGAGCTGGGGCACGGTGGAACCACTCTGACCAGGAACCATCGTAAACAGCCACATCACGCTTGCCACACAGGTAGGCTGCCAAGGCAATGTGACATGCCGTGACACCTTTGCGGCATGTGGCCGTCAGTGGCTTTGAGAGATCCACCTTCTTCTCACGGAATATTTCTTGGATCTCCTCAATACTCTTCTCATGGCCAGTTTCTGTTAGGAATGAGCGGAAGGGTATGTTCACAGCCCCAGGGATGTGACCAGATTCCAGCCCTGCAAGAGTCAACAAGAAAAGGAAACATGAGCAGGGAGACACTAATGTAGGTGATGAAAGACACCTACAAAAGAGACATCAAAGAGACATCACTGCAGATACTCCCACTCTCTCCAAGAGATTTGGATCATTTGCTTCAGGTGATGATGAAGATGCAAAGCAGTATGGGGCTAAAAAGAGGACAAAGATTATTCAACTCTGCTGAAGTCAAAGCTTCCAGACAAAAACCAGCTTCCTTCCCAAAACCAGTGAGAGGTAGGAATCTGAAGAAGCCCTAGATGTGACAAGAACCAAAGAACAGAACAGATCCTAACAAAGGCATTAAGGGGATCTCTGTAAAGAGAAATGCAGCAGTGCATTTCTGACCTTCCCCAAGTATGCCAGCAGTGTGTACCAACACAGCTTTCAGAAGCAGGAACTGTGGCTTGTATGTGGAATTTGTGAAAGTAGTTATCTGATCACAGTTTATTCCTGTGTCACTTTAAAATCATATTTCAGAAAAGCAATCTTAAAGTCAACCACACTACTGCTGAGGCAGCTATCCCAGGGGAAGGGGGTCAGATAAGTGAGAAAATAGATTTTGTATCTTTTTTTATCCACTCCATGGATGAAATCAGCATGGGTTCTGTTTTTCTACTGGTACAACTGACCACTTCAGGCAAGTTGAAAGCTGCATCTCAAGAACAAGGTCTTTAGACAGAGAAGCAGATATAAAAATAAGATGGATAAAATTTTCATCATGCCCTTGAAATTCAACCTCTGTCACAATAGGCTTAATCAAAGTCCATTACACTCCATGGAAGCTCTTTCACTGAATTTGAGAAGCTTTGGATCAAGCCTCATTGGAGCAGGAAACATTACATATTATGTTGAAAATGCATTTCAGGGAATGGTTCCTTGCTAGGTTTGAGCTTCTAATGAGACAGCCCCGGAAGTCCCACAAATAGTAATCTGTTTCACTGACAGCTTTCCACTTGCCTAAGTCATCAGGGTAACTGATCTTAGGAGACAAGAGAGATTGGGGCAGGGAACCTTTGTCATAGTCAAATGATTAAAGTATACTGAGCCAGAGATTGACATCACACATCATAAAGACACTGCAGTCTCATCACTCATGCAGAGTGATGTCAAGACATGATGAGATATGCCATAAGGGGAAAGCAGGGTTTTGGTGGGGTACTGAGGAGGGGATTTTTGCTCTGCTGGACAGAGTGTGAGAGCCTAAAGACAACCAAAGCTGCCCTGAGTCAGCTTCACAAAATCTCCTTCTGTTCCAGATGGACCTTCTTTGTCTCTCGATTCATCCTCTCTGAGTAACATAGAAATCTGGCACTGTTGTCTACTAGTCACCTCATCCATCCCTCAGAAGTGTTTAGCATTACCGGGACAAGTCAGCAGAAAAACTGATGACTTCTGGAGAGACTAACATTATTATTTTCAGTAAAAAAAAAAAAAAAAAAAAAGGCAGTGCTTTGGACTGATGCTTTCACCACATTTTTTTCACTTCCAGAAAACAACAGCTCATCACTTCAGTACAGAGAATTGTAAATCCTATACTCATTAATATAGTGTCTGTATGACAGAGGGGAAATAAAAATAATACAAAAAATGACTGTGAGAAAACCTTGTTTGTAGTTTTCAGACTGCAAAGCTTCTTAATAGAGAGTTACATGCCTGGGTGAGGCTACTGCTTTCCCATAGACTGAATGGTCCTGACCCTGTCATTTGTCAAGGGATTCCTGCAAGTCTCTGCTGGTGCAGTGCTGGTGATCACCTCAACACAGACAAGTTTGAGAGCTGCAGAACAATGCTCTCATGCCATCCTAGGGCTGTGGGAAGTGTACTGAGATCAAGAAGTCCTGAGGGCTGAACTAGAAGGGCCAGCTCTTGCTCAAAGAAGCTTTCTGGGACACCAATTCAGTTCTTGGGCTTCCCAGGCCCCATGGTCATGATTGCTTTTCTAGCCTGTTCACACATCTTAAAATAGGTAGGTTTGTACCCCTCTCTTACTGGAGACTGCTGTGACATATAGTCGCCACCCTTAAACAAGTCTTCATCCCTGGAGGTGTTCAAGGCCAGGCTGGATGAGGCTTTGAGCAACCTGGTCTAGTGGAGGGTGTCCGCTTCCCATGGTAGGCCTGTTGGAACTCAATGATCTTTAAGGTCCTTCCCAACCCTAGCCATTCTATGATTCTATGATTCAGCTAGGAACTGATCAGATCTGAAAAAAAGTCTAATTTTAGAGCATTTTTAACTTTTATCTATAGGAAGACTTCCTCGCTGCAGAGATTCAAAAGTTTGTTGGAGTCAGAGACCACCGCTTGCACTCTATGAGTGAAAGATGGGTAATTCTGTAGAAACTGCATTTATGCACGGACGTGGGTGTTCAGCTGAAAGAAAGAGCTGACATTGCACAACCACAATCCCTTGGACTGCCTAAGAAGTGCTCTTGAGCAATTGAGGAAGTTTTATCAGCTCTTTCTTCTAGGACAAGAGCAGAGACTCACAGGACTGGATGGCAGGGCCGGACGCAGCTGGGATCTGAACAGGGGAGAGGATACATCTGCTCCTTCCTCATATGACACAGAGCATACTCCATGCCAGATTCACACAGCCACCCTTCAAGACTCCAGGAAGGAACCCTAAGATTACAGAGCCTGGCTGCCAGCCACTACAGTGATCACTTTATAGGCTCCTCATAAAAACATCCATCTCAGAAACAGTTTGGATTCTTGTCACAAAACTTCCCGCTGAAGCACCTCCTTGCTCATGTGAGGAGGAATATTCATTTTCCAATGTTAAGTTTGTCACAGTCAGTCCACACACCATTTATCCTTGAGCTCACATTGCCCTGTGGCTGAAATAGTTTTTCTCCCTTTCTGCTATTGCTCCAACATACTGATGGTGAGCACTCATCACTCCCAACAGCTTCATGCCCTTAGCCTAAACCCAGCAAGAGCTCATTAGAAACACTTTTCACTGCCGCGGCCACCCCAGAAACAGTTCTAGGTGACCACCAGGCTCTGGATAAGGAAGTAGCACTTCCTAGCATCTCATCTGGCAGACAAGGAAGTTAATAATTGCTGTTGTAAAGGCCAAATCACATCTGAGGTTCTTGCACCCAACTAATGCATCCAAGTCTTATCCTCTTCTATTGCTTCCAAATGCGGGTCTTTAGCTTGTAAAAGAAACACAAGCAATTAAGCGTTTCTGGCTACTAAGCATCCAACCTTGCTCTCTGTAGCATTATACTTCCTGTCACTTCTATCACTGCAGGTGGTACCTCACATAATACTCCCCATGTGACCATTTAAACCTTCCCAAAGCTGCGTTGAATCACATTTCAGTAGCAACTCCCTCTTTTCAGTGCCTCAATGATTAGAAAAACATGAAATAAAACATAGAAGCATAATGATGGGACCATGTTAGAAACTTCCAGCTGCACAGATTTGCTTTCAGCACAAGCTATTCTTGTCTCCCTTTCTGTCAGTTTTTGGGAATCTGACAGTGCTGGTGCTATTTGCCCTCTTCTCACATTGAACTAATAATTGCCCCTCTAATATTATGTCCAAAATATTAATGAAGTCCAAACAGAACAAGTCTACCTCGTAGGTGCTTCCAATGGCTGGAATAAAAGATCAGACATAACTTCCAGGCACGCATGTTCCCATTTCTCTTATCTGGCAAATCAATTATGTTGGCAAGGAAACAGAGTCCTTAACTACAGTGCAAGTTCACCAAGGTATTTTATTCAATTGTGCCTTCATTTAAAATATTTTTTGTTGAAGAGTTTTTTGAAAGCCTTTCAGTCTATCCATGTTATGATAATAGATCAACAGCTGCCTAGGTTGTGCTGTACCTCCTATCCTAAATACAAATACAAACTTTGTTAGTGTTTCTGTCCTAAAGAACCATGCTCTGATTAAATTTATGAAATTCTCACCTTATGGAGTTGCAATGTCACATGACTGATTTTTGACACAAATTTGGGATGGAGATGGCCTGCCTCACAGAATTGAGCACATGGATATCTTTTGGTTATGATCCCTCTTTAGAAATTACGATTTCCACTTCTTTCCCCTTCTTCCTGCTAGCCCTCCCTCTACTCTGCAGACTTATCCTCAGGAGAAAAAAAAAATGGTAGCACAGTCTCAGTATAATTCTGAGGCTGTACACAAATTGTACACAAATAACCTTTCATCTGGAACCCCTGCTAACTGCAAGCAACCCTATTTACTCTTTCTCTCCTCGTTCTCTTTTTATTCACTTTGCTCCAGCAGTTTTTGTTGTTTGTTTTAATTCCTTTTGCCAAGTCTCACTCAGCTTGGCTTCTGGCAAACCTACCTCACAATTTGTAACCTGTAATATGTTATCTTCTTCACTGCTTAATCCCCTTTTCCACATCTGTTAAGGTTGTCTGCTTAAACACATAGGTTTTTTGTTGGCTGTTTATCTAGCTAAGACTACAGCCCCTTCTCTCTAGCCTTTCCCTTTGCGATGGAAGTTACAGATGGAATTTCTTAATATCAAAAAGATAAAAGATGTGCCTTGTCCACATTTAACTCCCTGTGGTCTTGGAACTGGCTGGTTGCAGATAGCTGTTCCTTTCAAAATGCCTCCTCTGTTTTTTCCTTTTTAATTGCTCTCTTTCATTCAAATTGTATGCCTTGGAAGGGAGCATTAGTGATCTCACCTAACCTACCGTGAATTCACTGGATTGAATACCTCAAGCTTGGCCCTGGCTAGATCCCGGAGACATCCTCACAGTCAGATCAATAGGCCTTTGCTACCAACGTCAGAATACTGTATGTGTATACAGCCAGAAGAGTCAACTCTAAGAACCAGCAGGGCCACTATGCTAATTCTAGCAGCTGTTGTTTGTCAGCCTCATCATAAGAAAGGACAGTTTTGGACTGTAGGTTCCTGTGGGTTGAAAAATACTTTAATGAAGTCTCTCACTCTCTATGTTGTGCCTTGAGTATTACTTCATGGTCAAAATAGAGCCAGTCCACTCCCAGCTGCCAACTCCACTTGGAGAAGAGGGGGAAGAAGCAGCAAAATTTCATTCTTGCTCCCACTGCCATTGAACAGTCAAGCTGAGCAAAAGCTTTATTTTTAGGGCAGGGAGGACTGAGAGCTAGGAAAATGGGCAAAACCTTAAGAGCTATGTGTGCACAAGGGAGACAAGGACTACCCAAGGGCTGAGAATGAGAAGAAAAATAGTTGGAAGCTCATTAAATTACTTTGGGTTTACTTTCTTTTTTAGACAATGGATTTCTTGTCTGGCAACTTTCCTCTTTTCTCAGCTGTCTGCACAAGAATTCAGAAATTTGCAGCTTTTCTGTATGCATTTGTTCAGCTATAATTCTTGTTGCCCAGTTTGCAGTGCCCAATACTCAGAGAGTCAGCACTGGTAACCATCATGTAATTATATTTATCATCTGCCTCTGGATTGCCCGAGTTCTGGCTGGTTCCATAGACCTGCACCCTACAGCACTGGCGTAAGCAGACCCTTGCAGAACCTGGCTGGGCCATTGCTGAATCACAGCTAGCGAGCAGGCCTGAGTGGCTAGTTCCTCCAGAAACACAGCACTGTGGGGGGACACCTTTAACCACTCAGTGCTGCACATCTCACGGGCTTATGCTGCACACCATGGATGAACATCCAAGACTTTTCATCCAAAACAACACATGTATTTAACATCTATAAGACGTGGCTTTCTCTACCTGGGCAACCTGGGTAAACCTCTCCCAGCAACTAAAAATTAGCTGTGTATTATGGCTTATCTTAAATGTTACAGATGTCTAAAACCCATCAAGGTAGCTGCTGCATAAAAATAAAACAGGGCCAACTAATTCTTACCGCAAGGAACTGAAAAACTAAAGAGGCAAAAGAGTCAGCTGAAATTAGCCTCTTTTAGAGGTGGAGTTCATGGAACTGGAGAGATTAATTGACTTAATTAGGAAGTCAAGAGCTGAGGCAATAATTAAACAGAAATCACCTGAGAATGCAGCAATTTCCTTAACCTCAAGACCATTCTTCTTCTCTAAATTGCAGGCAATGTGTCTCCTCCCTGATCGGATGACCCCTGTAATTTATCAGCATTGATTTTAAATTGCTCTTTCAGGTGTAAGCACTGCTTTTTACCCACTGCTGGCTGTAGCACAGCTACTGGCTAGCCTGGTTCAGAAGGCTGTCAAGCTCCTGTGGAACAAGCAGCTGCAGCTGGAGTGCTTATCCTGCTGGATCTGCTGTGGAAAGCAAAACTGGACCACCACAAATAAACTGTTCCATGCTGACTCATTTCCAAGGAAAAATCTGTTTTCAAGACACTGTCAAGGGCTGTGGTATTTGTCACTGGTGACAACTCCCACTTTGGGAAAGAGAACGCAAAAACCTACCAACTCCCAGAGAGGAGTGTTTTATTCACATCTTAAAGTTAAAACTCAACCTTCACTTTGATGGGCTGCAATAGGTGAAGAAACAGAATGAGCAATAAGCCTAACTCCCCCTCTCTCCCTGCAACAGTCTCCTCTGTCAGTTCCGTTACCTCTCTCACCTTCGACATTGTCTTGCACAGGTTGAGTGTGTTTGGGGGGGCTCACTGTAGACATTTATGCGAACCCCGTGTACAGAGCCATTTACAGCCAAATGCTCTTGAGATTCAGGTGCAGGAATTTATTTCAGGACACGGTGTCACACTCAATGGCTGTAGAGCTGCACACACGTAAGAAAGCAGTCAGAAGAGAATGACAATTGACCCGCAAGGCAGCAGTGCAGCACTGCCTCAGGACTACAGAAGCCTGCTGCACACCTGCTCCTGCAGTGGGGAGCTCAACTCAGACCCAACAACTGTTGTGGAGCTCTTCGGTACTTTGTTTCTGAAACTCTGCCTTTCCTTTCAAACCGTTTCTGTGATTCCCTTTCAGAAGAGAGTTTATTCTGGGTTATACTAAGGCTTAAATTACACAGTAAGGGTTTCCTGTAACAACCAACTTGAATTTCATTCCAGGCACATTGCAGTACCAGCTGTCATCACTGCACAGGACTTCTCCCACCCCTATTGCTTGTGTGTCCAGTGTTTGAGGTAACAAAATAAATTTTTGTTCCTGTTACTTGTGACATCCAAAAGAGAGAGGCTGACTGCCCATACCTTCGGGAAGGGTTTGAGGCTTTTCTTACTTAAGCTTGTTAGATTTAAGGGCAGAGAGCAAAAGGACAAAGATCAGCTCAAGCAAGTTCTCTATTTGCTGGGAACCAGAGCAAGAAAGAACATGTCCCTTGGGTTACTGTATTGCCTAAAACGTGGGCCTTTGCTGGTGCATTCAGTATGATGAGAGATGCCTGTATGAATACTGATAGTTTGTGCGTGTCTCTTAGTGTTAGATAGGACTCGGAACAAATCCCTGGGAGCTCTCACCTCCCATGTTTGCATTCTGTCTGATTAACTTCTGCAGGGTGTGGGATGGGAGATCCTGGAGCCAACTGACTGCAGACCTCTTCTGCAACTTCCTTCTGCAACTTTACAACCAACTACAAGAAAATCCAAACTCTTAACTGTGGATCCCTTAAGGTAAATCAACAAGTTATGCTGAGGCGTGCCTGTGCATTAAGAAATCTGTTTGCTGGCTGGGAGGAGTTGTTCCATCCAGACTAATATTGACAGTCATCCCGCTCGGGTGCAGGTGGCATTCCCACCTCCATTACCTTGGTCCAGCTCAGTCCCCCGGAACCGGCCCTCCGGGCGGGAATCCACCACCTGGAACCGCAGGGACCCCACGTTCTGTATCATCTCCTCAAAGGTCTTCACCAGGGCCATGTTCAGCTTGGCCTTAAAGACGGCTGGGGCGGGCTGGCTGACCTCCGCTGTGACGGGGTGGCCCTCCTTCACCCAGTTC